GATGAGGGGGAAGTCTGGGGGGGTGGGAGGAGGGAGAGGGAATCTGTGGTTGGTTTGTAAAATGAATAGAAAATTTCTTAATAATAAAATATATATGAACACATAATCATGTTAAATGTAGTTTTGTTCCCAGGGTTAGTGTTTTAAAATGTTTGATGAAGCCAGGCTGTGGTGGCACACGCCTTTAATCCCATCACTCGGGGTAGGCAGAGGCAGGTGGATCTCTGAGTTTGAGGCCAGCCTGGTCTGCAGAGTGAGTTCCAGGACAGCCAGCACTACACAGAGAAACCCTGACTTGAAAAACCAAAAAAATCAAAAAACAAAACAAAACCCTCCCCAATTCCCCACACTTTGATGAGTATGGGCGGCAGAATATAGCAGGTTATGATTGATGCCAACTCCATATATGAATGTCTTAAGTAACACATATTTTCTTCTTGCTTATACATTCTTGTGGGCTGGCAGTGGAACAGGTATGCACATGCGGTCATTTGTGAACTTGGGAGAACTGCCTCCACCCCTGACATGACTAATTACTGTCCCAGAGGGAGCAGGCAGCTCTGAGAAAGTAAATATCTGTAATTTATACTTGGCCCAGAAGTGAATGTTACTTAACATCCATAACGTATTGGCCAGAGCTTGTCCCTATGGCCCGATCTGTCCACAGCAGGTGATCTTTCTGGCAGAGAGCAGCTAGAAACATATGTAATGAACAATATTGAAGCCCAGTAATATATCTGCTGGTCAATAAATATAGACTTACTTTGTTATTTTTAATATTTATTTATCATCATGTGTATGGGTGCATGTGCGGATGTTTTTGTGTGTGTATGTGTTTGTATGTATGGGAGTATGTGTGTATGTTTGTAGTGAGGTATGTGTGTAGGTTTGTGTGTATTAGGGTAGTGTGTGTGCATGTTTATATGTGGGTGTTTGTGCTCTTGTGTGCATGTGGAGGTCAGCGGTCAACCTAGGGTGGCATTTTTTAGAAGATGTCCATCTGTCTTGGATTTTGGGACAGGGTCTCTCAGTGGGACCTTAAGACTATGTTGGAATTCTTTTTTTTTTTTTGGTTTTTCGAGACAGGATTTCTCTGTGTAGCTTTGCGCCTTTCCTGGAGCTCACTTGGTAGCCCAGGCTGGCCTCGAACTCACAAAGATCCACCTGCCTCTGCCTCCCAAGTGCTGGGATTAAAGGCATGCACCACCAACGCCCGGCAATAAATCTTTTTTTTGTTTGTTTGTTTTTTTGTTTTTTTCCAGACAGGGTTTCTCTGTGTAGCTTTGGAACCTGTCCTAGAACTCGCTCTGTAGACCAGGGTGGCCTTGAACTCACAGAGATCCACCTGGCTCTGCCTCCCGAGTGCTGGGATTAAAGGCGTGCACCACCACCGCCTCTATGTTGGAATTCTTAAGGCCAGATTGGCTAGCCCATGAGCCCCGCGATCTTCCTATTTCTGTCTCCCCATGGCCAGTGAGCTCCAGATTTCCCCAATACCAGGATGATAAGGATGCCACCACACCTGGGTTCTTATGTAGGTTCTGGGGTCAAACTCAGGTCCGTGCGCTTGGGTGGCAAATGCTTTGCCAATAGCTGTCTCTCTGGTCCCCGGGTGACAGTGGTGTATTTAACTAAACTACTTCTAGTGGATACTTTATGTCAGTGGCTCTTGACCTTCCTAATGCTGTGACCCTTTAACACATGTCGTGTATTAAACACCTCATATTGTGGTGATCAACCATAAAAATAATTTCATTGCCACTTCATAACTGTAATTTTGCTGCTGTTATGAAATGCAATGTAAATATCTGTGTTTTCCAATGGTCTTAGGCGACCCCTGTGAAAGGATCATTCGAACCCCCAAAGGGTTGCAATCCACAGGTTGAGAACCAGTACTTTAGGCTCTCTCCAACTATGAACAACTGTTCTAAAAGCTACACATTTTGTTTTTCCAACTATTCTCCTCTCTTATTTACTTTTCTGTTGGTAGAGTTTTTAACTGAAAGACATACACACAGGTGGGAATATAAATGTATACTCACTTTAGAAAAATTTTACTGTTTCTTAAAATAAAATTTACTGTATGACACATGATCTTATTTTCCACTCATAGTAAAATAAAAATGTATCTCTATATTTTCAGGAAAGATTGCCTGTGTGTGAAAATTAAATTTTAATTCAAGTTATGAATTATTCATACCAGACAAGGGGAAACAATAACTCGAATGTCTGTCAGGTGACAAACAGATAAACAAAATCTAGCATACCTACACAATAGAATATTATTCAGCAATAAAAAGGAATAAAGTAGTGTCTGCTAGTGTAGATGAGCCTTGAGACTCATTTGTATTATTCAAAATACAAAAATATGAATGGTGTATAATTCCATTTATATAAACTGATCAGAATGGGGAAAACCATATAAAATAATTTAGTGGTTGCTAAGGGCTGGGGGTGAGTGATTGTGAGGTGATGACCAGAGTGTGCAAAGTGTGTGTATGTGTCTCTGTGTGTGTGTTTGTGTGTGCATATGTGTGTTTGTGTGTCTGTGTGTCTGTGTGAGTGTATCTGTGTGTCTGTGTGGGTGTCTGTGTTTGTGTCTCTGTGTGAGTGTCTGAGTGTGTCTGTGTGTCTCTGTGTGTGTGTCTGTGTGTGTATATGTCTGTATGTATGTGTGTGTCTGTGTATGTATATGTCTCTCTCTGTGCCTGTGTGTCTGTGTGTATATGTGTGTTTCTGTGTGTATGTGTGTCTTTGTGTGTGTGTATGTGTATGTGTGTGTGTGTGTGTGTGTGTGTGTGTGTGTATGTGTATGTGTGTGTGCTCTCACACGTATGTGTGTGTGGGGGGGGACAGGGACAGTCCACATCAGGTTTCCTTCCACATCACTCTCTACCTTATTTTCTGAGACAGTCTCTCCTGAAACTGGGGCTTGCTGTCTCTCCTGACTGGCTAGC